GAGCTCGCGAAAAGCAGTCCAGATGTCGCAAATGCAAAAGACCACGCTGAATGAAGAACTGCAAGCACAGTGGAGAATGGAGCTCGAGCTCGCAAAAAGCAGTCCAGATGTTGCAAGATTTGCTTGTCTGGACCGCCTTCACAATTCACACCTGGGCGCCGAGACAGCCAAAAAGCTCGCACAAAAGCGCCTGGAGGGCAGCAGACGTGCACATCATTGAGCACAGACTGCACAGCCCAGCCGCGGAAAGACAGGAGGTCTTTCTCCCGCCAATGAGCGTCGCTGAGCGTGATGTGACCATCAAGCCAAGGAAGACATCTGAGCCATCCACACTTGACTGCCATCCACGCCCATCCAGCACAATCCTGCATGGACATCAGCAAAGAGCAAAAAGTTTTCAGTCCCCTCCACTTTGCACTTGTAGGGTGGAGCTAGCACAAGCTACTCAGCCCAAATTCCGCGGTGATAGATCATCTTGAGGGATGGCCGGGATGATTCAACTCAACAAGGTAGCCAAGGATCTCATGTCCTCTACAGGCGTGAATGACGAAATTGGAGCTCCAAGCCCTCTGCGCGCCTGACGCTCTCCTTTGCCTTAGAGATTCGTGCTTCTCATGGCTTTGGAAGCTTGGATATGACTATGCGATTGCGTTTTGGGCACTTCCGGGCTTCCTTGGTAATTCCAATTGCCTCATTCACCTTTCTCCTGGCTTCAACAAGTGCTGCACTCCGTTGGGGATGTTTCAAGAAGCAGTCCCGCTTGGGTAGCAGCAGCTAGCTCTAGACTGGACTGTGTGCGCTCTCTTTTCTGCCACTCATGTTACAAATCCCTTTCTAAATTTAGTGGAACCCATCGCACTAATACCTTACATTGCTTCTCCCGCGTTTTGAGCAAGCATCTACTCAACAAGAGAGTTTGTGACTCACTCTCACTACAATGTGTGCAGATGAGTTGGTGGCCAGCTGCCCTTTGGCTTCTCTACAGTTGGCAGGGTCTGTGCTCAAGGCTGACATGCCAGTTCTGCAACAGCAAGCAAATTTGAGCAGACTGGTCTGTGGGCAACTCCCCTCCTACCTGTTCCTTGACAAGGCTTTGCTTTTGGCATTGGAGCATGGGGGCTGGCATATAGATCGGTTTCTTAGCCCTTCAAGCTGGATTTTGGACCAGACGTTTACTTACGCCCTTCGCCTGCGTTTGAGACCTCTTCGCTAGTGATCCTAGGAGCGTCGGCGGCAATCATTGACCGAGGGTCTGCCATTGTAGTACAGAGCAACAATACGCCACCTTTCGTGCAATATTCGCAAGCGCTAAGAGCTGAGAGTGCGACGAACGCGCAGGGTACAGGTCCCCGCTACGCGTCACGCTGAGCGTGAATTCGCGCTCACGCGCGAATTGTGATCAAGTTGTGATAATACAACTTGTGAAGGCGTGCTAAATTGTGAGCTGGGCATCTTCTTTCCCTTCACAAGCCCCTTAAGCACTAAATGAGGGACGCAACGCAAGCTGCGTAGACTCACAATCGACAGCTCCTCGCCTCTGCCTCAATTTGCACTTGATCTACACATCAACTTTTGCAAGATGGCAAAGCCGAGCCTGTCGAGCCAGGCAGATGCTTCTTTTGGCAATGCTGCTGAAGGAGTGACAGGGCTCAGAGAAGCCGAGAAGGAAAACGTCAAGGCGTGTTTTCCCTTCGAAGCCCTCGAAAACTGAGGTCGGACCTTGCAGCAATTCATACTCGACGCCAAGCTTGACACTGCCGATCCGGCGATAAGACGCTCGGTGCACGACCTCTGTTCGGCAATTCGTCTTGCTCGAGCCCCATTTACTGCGCTGGTCCAGAAGATGAAAGCACTGACAGCCAATTTCACGCAATACAAAGCCGAAGCTCGCTAGAAAGATGAAGCAATCGTGAGTGTGGAGGTGGCCCGAACATCTCCTTGCAACAGGCGCGCGTCGACTGCAAATCTCACACGAATCATCATCTTCTGCACAGATCAAAATGTGCAAGGATCAGTCTTTCGTGCTCGGGCTTGAGCTGCCAAATGAGGCAGATGATTTGCAGCATGAGCGTCGAACGGAATACATGATGCTGCTCGTGCGCGGCTTCAATGTGCGTTGCTCATTTCACACACTAATGGACTGCTGAGCTTACTTGGCCTTCGATCATTGCTCCAACCCATTCTCCATAGGACTGGTTTGATCGTCACCGTCAGAGTGCACAACAACCAGAGCAGCCTGTTCCTCCCACAGGGCAGATGCTAATTTCTCGTTTCCAGTCGCACCCGCTGAGCGACGACTTCATCTACTACCCGTCGGATCATACAAGTGACGGTGGTAGTAGTGTGTATAGCTTTCAGTCCCACGGAAGTAGCGTCTTTGGCGGTGCGCTCGCCGGTCAGCTCGAAGGCTTGCAGGTCGAGACCTCTTCGCAGTCAGCAAGTGCGAGTCAAGAGCAGACGACGAGCCAGTGAGTTCCTTTTTCAAAATATTCGAACTGCGCAACCTCCAGCAGGTCAGGTGGGAGACCATGGCAGCTGATTGACACCACGACACTTGCCATGGAATCTCCTAATAGTCACTGAACCAATACAAGCAAGCAGAAGACGCATCGGTCTTCTTTATTGTTCTCGCTGCTCTCGCACCAGACAAGAGCATGGTATGTCGGAAGCTGCTGCCCAAGGGACCATGAGCCCCTTGAGAAGTACCGTTCCTCGAGCTCATGCTGCTTCTCTGCATTTTCTCTCCCTTCTCTAGAGCTTCTCCGCAACAACGTAGCGACTGCGTGACGGGGCAGGCAGATCGCGCAGTATACGTCCGACTCACTTCCACAGTCTCCCATCAGCAGATGCTTCCGCAAGCCGACAGCGCAAGTACAATTGTAACGTCGGACATCACAACGTGACGCTCAAAAGAGGCGGAATGACAATGTTCCTTTTCAGCTAGCCCCTGCCGGGGTGTCAACGTATAATTGAAGAGCCCGCGCCAACATGACAGAGATTCCCTATGAGTGCTGTACCGCATTGAGTGCGGAAAATGCCCCAACAGGGCGCCAAAGAACTTCAAGGGCGCCTGGATGTGGGCCAGACAAATCTTTCATCCTATATGCGCCACCACACTGTCCTCGTTCGCGTCGCTCTCGCGGTAAGTCCCCAAATCCGGCCTCAAGGCTAATCGTCGATATTCGTTTCACAGAGTGCGAGCGTAAGCATTGCGCGTCGCATCATCTGCTAACGAGGATGATCTCAGCTCGCGCCAATTTTCCACAAAGAACCACCTACAGGACAGAGACGATGATCACCAACACGAGTTGATGTTCGTATTCAGTCCAGAATGTCTTCGGTACCAAGCTAAAAAAAAAAAAAAACAGGAATCCTTCCAACCCCTTAGGGACGCGAAGCAAAAGACACGCTTCCCTGATGGTCCCGAATCCGAACCCGGCCGGGGCTCGAACGCGTGACTCCGGGATGAGCCTGCCTTTACAGTGAGTAGAGGGTCGGTCGCTTCATAATTACCGACCAGCGGCTAACCATTCCACGAACCTGCCTCGCCTGACTGATGCAGTGTCCAGAAATTGCGGGGTACATAAGGTGTTAGTGCATCTAGCTGCAGGTACGTGCATCGAACGAGTGGCGTGGGAATGGAGGGCAGCTAGCGGCACCGTGGTAGTTCGATTTTGATCGCAACTTCTAGCTGAGGCAAATGGGCAGCGAGAGTATGCATGAACCGCACATGTGCTGACTTATGCTTGCAAAGGGAAGAGCAAGAAGCTCGAGAACAGACCGAGCACAGCCTCGAAGTCGGACGCTCTGGCAAGTAAATTTCTTGCAAGAGAAAGGCATTGGAGGAGACGGCGACCGGAGGAGAGGGGAAAGTGAAAGGGTGGATTGCAGCGCAGGTGGAGAAAGACGGACTGAGCCGAAAAAATTGCTCGGACGGATCGTCTGGCCTTTCGATTCGCACCGACCTGCACATAATCATGATCCGACCAAGCGGCTTCTCGAGCCTGGAGCAACGCTGCAGCTGGTGAGGATGTCGCCGATCGCAATCGACGTTCCCTTTCAACCAATCGCAGCCTTCACGTCCGTCTGTCAGAGCTGCAAGCCTTCCATTCGGCATTCGTACCTGATGGGTCCTCTCCAATCCACGCGACGCACGCACAGCCGCACAGCTCGCAGCAGGACAAGGGCCATACGAAGCATATCGTTCCTTTAAGTGCAAGAATGAAATTACGCAATGCTACCAAAGCCGTCGCTATGGCTCTATTACACCGCTCTCTTGCGCCCAACTATCTTCGACCCTCTTCCCGCCGTCCAACAAGCATGCTGCCAAAGCGTTTCAGGTCTCCGAAAGCTCTGGCCGCACCAGTAGCGGTAGGATTGTAATCTCGATCGAATGCGCTTCCTCTTCCGAGCGGAGGTGTCGACGATCCATCCACCGTCGAGCCTGCAGCTGCAAATGACAAAAAGGGACCAGGAGTGGTAGCGTTGGTGGGCGGATCCATGTCTGTGATGAAAACCCGTGGTGCGCTGCCTTGTCAGAATTGGACGCCTTCGCAGGTAAGACGGGAAAGCGGGCGAGATGCTCACCCAACGAAGTGAGGAAAGACGTCTCGGACAATTGATCGTTCTGCGATGTCAAAGTGACAAAAGTGTCCATGATGCCATTTTGTTCCGTCCTCCTCACGCCCTGCGAACCGATTCGGCACCGTCAGTCAAGGTCTCGCATGCCCGCGCCCAACACTGCGAGCTTGTCATTCGGCCCGCGACTGCTCACCCTCAAATCCAAGATCTTTTGGAAATTGCCCTGCACAGAACAGAGACGAAGGCGAGTGCAAATATTCAGCCCTCTGCAAGCCCACGAGCAAAGTGTGTTCCCTCGGACCGACTCACGAATGACCTATCGCCAATCAGCTGGGTGTACCTTTCGATGAGCTCTTCCGCTCCAGGATCCTCCAGGCACAGCAGATCCAGCAAGCTCTCCAGCCTCTGCGTGCTCTTGGTGATGTGTCGTTGATAGCTGCGCACAGGGGCACGTCAAAATCAGCACCGTGACGGGAAAGCACCGCACAGTCTACATGGCGCGGCGCGATGCAGGTCACTCACGAAGCGGCGGCGTTGGCGCTGCCTTCCTCCGACAAGGAGTACCTAGGCAGCTCGAGCAGGATCGATCTGATCTCTTTGAGATCGAGCAGCAATTGTTTCGAAACGAGGCTCGACAGCGGTTTCAACCTGACAAGGGTGTTCGTGAACCTGGCAAGGATGGTTCTGCGCACAGCAGTGTCCCCCAATGCCCAGTTCTTTAGCACCTCGCACACTCACGACAACGCGTCGCGCAACGCTACTCACCCAACAGCCTTATCGCACCAGCTCCGCACGAATCGCTTGTTCTCCAGCTCCAGCCTGACCACGACAGCCACATGCTCGAGGGAAGATGCTAGCTCATCGACGTAAGGAGACTTTCCCGATGCTTCGACGAGCGTGGACCACGGATTGTTCGGCCGGAACATTTGCTGAAAAGGGACTTCCAGAGCTTGATCCGCTTCGCGCAACAAGACCTGAATGCCCTGCGCGATCACGCTGTTGTGGCAAGCAATGTGACGAGAGCTTGAGCGAGCGCAAGCATTCGGGCTCGCAAAACGTCATCTGCAAACCCTCGCACCCACTCACGCAACAAAGCCCTCCTTTTCGTTTTGCAAATCAATCTCCTTTTCATACCCTTCATCCACCTTTTCCCTCAGCTTTTCCGCGAGCTGATCGGCCGTCGTAGCGCAATAATCCGCCGTATTGACAATCTTGCAAATCCTTCCCAAGTACATTTCATTCTCTCTGCTGCCGCTGCCGCCGTACCTCGTATCGTTGGATCTCCTAGGTGTGGGCAGACCAGAGGCGCTCGCAGGATCCGTTCGATGGATCAATCCGAAGCGCAACACCTCCTCCGCATATATCCTGAGATACTTGCAAAATACGAAGCACAAATCTCTGAAAGCGGCGCCCGTGCTCAAACGAGCAAACGCTTCGAGCGTCTGTCTGTAAAAGTAGAAGAGCTCCGTCGAGGAAGCTAGCACCGCACTCCCTGCGCCTCCGCCCACCGAGCCGGAGCTGGTTTGCATGCCGATGGTAGAGGAGGCTTCTTGCATTCCTGCGCTTCCTCCGCCGACACTACCGCCGTCAATCGAAGGTCGGGACATGAGGCTCTGTCGATAGCCGACAAACATCTCTTGAAGTCGCTTGTCTTGCGCTTCCACAAAGATGCCGAGATGCGGATCGAAGGTGGAGGATAGAGAGTGGCCTGTAGATGTTGCTGCAGTCAAAGCTGGGACCGAGGCATTCCCTGTGGCTGTGGTCGGTGCCAGATTGGGAGGCGCAGTGATCGCTTCGTACTGTCGATGCAGTCGTGGCGTATAAGCTCCCTCACTGCTCGTGTAAAGGACAGGCCACGCGCTGTCCAGGCTACTCACGCTGCCCCCATACTTTCTAGCCATGGCGGTTTGAAACTCCAAAGTAGCATTCATGGCATCCAGCAGCACGTCCACATTAGCACCTTTGCCCATCCTGATGAGCAAGCTCCTCAAGTCTTCCCTAGTCTGCTCGCTGAATCTCCTGAGCAGCTCCCTGCCCACATCCCAACCAGCCACATGAAACGCAGCAGCGTGATCCTCGTCGTACGTGCGCAGCACTCTTCTGAACCAAGCATACCGGCGCGAAACATTGTCCAGTCCACCAGCTTCGTCCGTAGAGCGAAAGATGCGCTTGTACTCTTTGAGCGTGAGGGTGGTGTAGAAATCGTGCAGGGATTGCGAGGCTTGCGGACCCAGGGCTGCAATAGCCTGAGCAGCAGATGGCAGGATAGTCGAGCTGATAGGAGGTGGATTGGGCTGACCAAAGCTGTCGCGAGGATGTCCAGGCAAGAGGACGAGCAGCTCGAGCGGAGGTCAGCAGGCGGCCCTACGCTGAATCTCTGCGCCCTTCGATACCCCCTCAGACAACTTCGAATGGAGAGCATCCACGCCACTCACAATCTTTCAAACTCCTCCCTTGCATCCTTTTCCAGCTGCCCCTTTAACATCTCCACCTCCCTCGCCACCCTGCTGAGCCTAGCGACGCCCGCGAACCCCACAAAACTGTCTTTGAGCGACTCGACGGCTCTGAGAGCTGATGCGCACTCTGCGTACCGCTTGGACTGAGCCAGTCGACTGAGCTGCGATACGGCATTGACTGCGAGCGTAGCAAGAACGGCAGGTCGAAAGAAAGATCAGCAATGACGTATCGAGGGTGAGGCGAGGGGGAAGGCCGTTGAAGGGGAGAGCTTTCCCCCCCCCCC